TATATTTCTTTCTAATTTGAGAATATTCTTCTTTCACTTGATGAATCTTCCTAGGTTCGTGCCTGAAGATCTCCAAAATCCATTTTTACTAGATAAGAAAGCCCTTCAAGCGAAAGTTTCTTCTATTCCGTCAATAAACATTTGAGATGAATTTTGTTATAGTGTGTAGCAGGTCAAAGGGTTGCCTTGGCTCACTTTTCATCCTAGTGTTTTGTTTCCGTGAGGGTGGTAGAATTTAAATGTCCATCTCACGGTTAAGAACATTTCTCAGTAACACTCGGAAGATACCCTTAACTTACCAGTCATGTATGAACCAGCATCATTCCACTTTATCATCATTCCCTAACAAACATAATGAAAATGATGCAGTTACGTCAACTTTACCTGACGAACGTTGTAAATAACTCGTTTTAGTTATTTTCCTTAAGATGGCAGTAAACAGTTTAGCTTCAGGGATCCGAAACTTGCTCATGTAGCTAAGTCCAATTCAGAAATTATTCGTGCACTACTTGTGTTCAAATTATGCTCATTCTCAACACTTGTAAATCATAACAAAAAGGTATGTTAACATTCATACTAAATCTCCTAGCTTATGGATATTTCCAGAAAGGTTTTTGGAAGATCCTTGTTTCGACATATAATGAAGATGACGTTCTATGGGCATTTTGTTGCAGGTGAAAATGAAGCAAACATTCAACCATTAATCATGCGTCTCAAAAAGTATGGAGTAAAATCAATACTAGACTACAGTGTTGAAAAAGATATACAAGAAGATGAAGCAGTTCAAATAGTCAAGTTAGTATTTTTTTTTTTGTCATGTGCTAACGCGTGTTTTCTAATTAACCACCCAAAAGTTTTTATCTATAATACCTATAAAAAATTGTAAATGGTCGATGTCACCAAAGTGCTAAGGTTGATTTGTACGTATAAGTTGGTAAAACATTGAGCTGCTTGTATTTAATCAACAGTTTTTAGTAGATGGACTAACAAAGATTAAGTTGAACAGATTAATCGCTACTCTATATCAGTAAAATTCGCCACACTTATTTACATAGGTTAATAAAGATTTGAAATACTGCCCATCGGCTTGGCTGATATAACAGACATGTTGGCTCCAAAACATAATAACCCTACAAAATCACAATTTCCTACCCTTTCAATAGTGGAAAACTTGATTTTCTCAACAATATTACTAAGGGAAGGCCAATATTGATACGGGCTTTTAATGTCTTCTATGTGTTTATTCTTATTTTAAGTAGACCAGTAACTGTACACAGTAATAGTAGATTTACACTGGCTTTGACTATTCGGCTTTGGTTTTTCACTAAACTTAATAGTTTACATTCTATGACATGTTCAAGTTTTATCTTAAAATATTAACAAATATAAGTTCTTATTAGCTTCTGTAATGGTTTGTGCCTTAGATATTCAAAGTCAGCTGATTCATATATATGCAAATGTAACGAATAACCAAAGACTTTTATTGGTAACATTGATACTTTTATTTCAGAAAGAGCTTGAGTGAAGTGTTACAGACCCCAGAGAAACGACCAGAAGCTGCAACTAAACAATATCAAATCAGTCTTCGATTTGCTAATCGTACAAAACAAGTTATTGCTGCTCGCTCATACTTTTATAAATCTGAATATCAATGTGATCGTAATATGGAGACATTTATAAAGTGTATTGATGTCTCTTCAAAATACAGTGATGATCGTGGTTTCACTGCAGTTAAACTTACAGCACTCGGACGACCTCAGCTTTTGGTAAGAACAATTTATAAAAGGGACTAATTGTTTTAAATTTAGCAACAAATGTCTGATTTTTTAGTACAGATGAAACGATTATTTTTTCTACTTACCAAAGCAGACGATGGAGAAAAAAATGGACTTGCATCTCTTGATTTAGAAAATTTTCGTAAAAAGTTGGAAGGATTAGGTGTAAAGATTGCATATAATGAAGATGTTAAGTGGTTTACTTTGTTGGATGTTTCTGGGGATGGGTATGTTTCCGATAATTTTTTTTGTGATAATTTCTTTAGTGTTTTAGATTTACTTGATTGGAGTCATTTAAAGGCTTTCGAATATGATCTTGCAAGTTTATTTAGTATAAAAAATAAAAAGGTGAGCCTACTTTTTAATACTATTTGTTGTGATTAAAGAATTATTGTAATATCTTTACGGATTTTTTTAGCCTTAGCTACATACAAATTAATCAGTTGGTTAACTATTGTGAAGTTACCGAAAAAATCGTAACTCCTATATTTGTAATTCAGTAATCACAAATGTTTGTGTAAAATCCTGTTGGATCTATAGTATATGACTGATTAATCTCAACTGAATCGAAGTAGATGAGGTAAATTCTGAATGTATTTTTTTTCCAAGCCACATAGCGACACTTACTTTTGTAAGCCTACAATAACTTCAGTTTTTATTACAGTTCAAAAGATCTGTTTATATGTTAATTATATTACGTAGTTAGAAATAGATTTATCAGGTGATTACTTCAAATAATCTAACATCTTATAAAACTTTTTCATTGTTTTTGCCATCATTCTAGACTGGTGAAGTGGAACAACTTGTACCTACACTTACAGCTGAAGGTATTGAGGAAATGAGAAATATGATAAAACGTATTGATACTTTAGCAAGTGTAAGTATAACTTCTGTATACTTTTCTGTCATCATTTAGTAGATGGTATTGATTTTTATGGAGTTTTTATTAATTATGGTTTTATATCTAATCTTGTGCACTGCGCAGTAGTTCGCTCCGTTTTACTTTATGGCTCTGAAACATGGCCAGTGAGAGTAGAAGATATTCGTAGGTTATTGGTTTTCGATCATAGGTGTCTTCAAAGCATTGCTCGTATATCCTGGGACACCCGAGTGAGCAACGCTATTATTAGGAAACGGGTGCTAGGTAAGAATGGCAAATCAATAGATGAAGTAGTGAAACTTCATCAGTTGAGGTGGTTTGGACATGTGCTACATATGCCCAACCACCGACTGCCTCGACGAGCATTGTTTTGTAATGTGGGAGTAGGTTGGAAGAAAGTTAGGGGCGGCCAGACCAAAACATGACAGAAATCCATGAAGTCATTGACGAGTGGACTAAGCCATGTCGGTAATTGTTGACTACCTGGTTGGGGTCCGCGAGATGATAATAATCGATGGCTAGAGACCTTGAATGACATGGCTCAAAATCGTTCGCAGTGGCGCAGATGCATTTATTCTTTGTGTTCCCTCAAATCCTTATCTTCTGGATTCTTCAACACCTCTAGTTTTGACTTTCTAAACTTTTCTCACTGAATCATACTTCTTGAATAATATCTTCTAATCCTAACCCCTCCGATTACTTCTAATACCTTTACTACCTCTTCTACTATTGGATTTGAAATGACAATTACATCTCTGTGCTGATGTGATATGGCGACATGAACTGATGTACTTACGTACGAAGTTCTACGTTGCATCCGACTGACTGACCTTTCTTAATCAAACTATTAGTTCGACATATCTATCCTTTAAGCTCCTAGATTAGAATATCTACTTACACTAATTTTTCTCTCTCAACTCCAATAAACTTCTTTGAGGTATTGTCAGTCTTCTAATTTGCATTTCATCTAAGGTTTGACAAACAGAGCATATTTATAAGTCGATGACAACCCATCTTTTTCACGATTATGTCACTGATTGTTGATTTTTGATTATTCCTTATAATAAACCTACACAGCTACAGACTATTTCTTAAATTCCACGCCTTTTCCATCAGTTTTTGTAATGACACAATGGCTGAATTAGTTTTTCTTCGTATTCATTAGTAAGACTATCCCTGTAACCTAACCGTAGCTGCTACCTTGACACGGTGGTTCGGCTTGCCTATCGTGATGACTCAACCGAGTCATACTGACTGCAATATATGTATATGTACGTACGTACGTGCGTACGAAGTTCTATGTTGTAGCTGACTAACTAATTATGTTTGTGACCACAGATTTATCAAAGTATCTCATGTAAACAAGTAGCTTACAACCACTGTCATAATTTCCATTAAGTTTCCGCTTTCAAATCTATTGTTGTTTCTATCCCAAGGAAATATATTTCTAACTTTTTATTTTCACATTAGCTATCCATGATAATTTATGAAAACACTTGTTCATGAAAATGTTCCACTGAAGTTTACGTCTCAACTAAGACAACTTGTTTGTTTGTTTTCAAGTTATCGTTGCTCAGTCATCATCAGCAGTAACATAGAACTTCGTAAGTACGAACATCAGCACAGAGATGCAACTGTCAATTCAAATCCCATAGTAGCAGAGGTAGTAAAAGTATTAGCAGTAATCATAGAGATAAGGGTTCGAGGATATTATTCACGATATATATTCTAGTGAAGTAAACTTGTAAAGAAGAAGATAAACGTGATGAGGAACTCTGAAGTTTAGGATTTGACAGAACACAAAGAATAACTCACCTGCGCCACTGTAAACTGTTTCGAACCATGTCGTTCAAGGTCTCTAACTATTGGTGACTTTCTCCTCGCTGACCCCAACTACGTTGCCTACATCTACCAACATGACTCTGCCATGTTTTGGTCTGGCCGCCCCTTAACTTTCTTCCAACCTATTCTCACAATCGCATTGCTTATTACGTTTAATAATTCACGTACTTATATGTATTCACTTTATTTATTTTTAGTATGCAAAATCTGCCGGTGTTCGAGTTATGGTCGATGCAGAACAATCTTATTTTCAACCAGCTATAAGAAGAATTGTGATAGAAATGATGCGTTTATTTAATAAAGATAAAGCTGTAATATTTGGCACTTATCAATGTTATTTAAAGGTTTGTCATTGATTTTATTTTATTTATTTTTACTATTTTATTCTGGTGTTGTTTGTGGCTTCTATGAAATATTTTGTGGAGACTATTGGATTACTTTTTAAAATCATCAATCAATCAATCATTGTTAGATCATCATCATTAGAAACCTAGAATCACTAGACAGCCGTTTCGTCCTCGACTAACCACTGACTGCCTCGAAGAGCTTTGTTTTGAAGTGTAGGAATAGGTTGGTAGAAAGTTAGGGGCGGCATAACCAAAACATGGCACAAATCCATGAAGTCACTGACAAGTGGACTGAGTCATGTTGGTAGATGTAGGCTACGTGGTTGGGGTCCGCGAGACGAAAGTCACCAATGGTTAGAGACCTTGAATGACATGGCTCTAAATCGTTAGCAATGGCGCAAGTGCATCCATTTGTTGAGCTCTCTCAAATCCTAATCTTCTGGATTCGTCAGCACATCTACCTACATCTTTCTAACCTTATCTCACTGAATTATACTTCTTGAATAATATCTTCAAACCCTCTAGTCTTCTTCATTACCATTAATACCTCTACTATCTTTATCACTATGGGATTTGATTAGACATTTGCATCTCTGTGCTAATGTGGTGCTATGGTAACATGAACTTATGTACATACGTACGAAGTTCTACGTTGCAACTGACTGACTGACGTCCTGCTATGGCAATGCGCATCCACGACTCCTGCAACTCACAGGATTCGAACCGAGGACCTTCAATCCAAGGTGCGAACGCCTAACCTCTGGATCATTGAACAGGTATCTAACAATGTTAATGTTTAACTTCGATCAATCCAATGCATCCAGGTTTATAATACTGATCTAACCTGGATCAATTCATAATTTCATACTTTCAATGTTCATTTGAGATAAATGTGATATTTTTTTCTGTTCATTGCCAAATATGCACTTCTGACTTTGATATATGCAAAAGAGTGCAAAATATATACAATTCTCTATTGATCATTTTGACAGATTTCTATAAAGTAGTTATCTATATAGAATTTTATATATTTTTTTGTTTAAATTTACAAACTCATTCTAATGATGATGATTATTATTATTATATTGAACATTTTTTTAAAATTAAAACAAAACAAATATTTCTATTCGGTATATCATTGATCCATCCATAAAATTGCAGAAAAACATGTGCACCTCAACAGCTTATCATTTTTTTTTACTGTTTTCTTAAAATTTTTATAGCATGATAACTTTTTTTTTAAAACATGAAATTGGCAATGATTTCATGGGTGTCATGTTATCGAAATTAACTTTAAATCATAATTTATAGGTTGTTTTATTTATTTTTTTTCATTTAAAAGATGAAATATGACAGATAGACAGATAGATAGACAGACAGATAGATAAAACGCAGAACTTCGTACATAATAAGTACATCAGTTCAAGTTGCTATACCACACACATCAGCACAGAGACGTAACTGTCAGTTTAAATCCAAGAGTGATAGCGATAGTAGAATTATTAGCAGCAATGGAGAAGATTAGGGAA